CAGGGCCACTGCGCACGCCGGCAGCCAGCGAGCCGTTGCGCACCGCCACCCAGAGGGCGGCGCGGGCGTCCGTGGTGGCGCGCAGCAGCCCGGCCTCGGAGTCGCGCGTGCGGAAGGCAAGCGAGAGACCGCTGAGCGAGCGCCCCGACGACACGTTGTGCCCGCTGAACGCGGCGGGAGGACCCTCGTGGAACGTGGTCTCGGCCACACCTGCAGAATGAGAGAGCATTGGGGAATGGAGGATGAGAGCAATCTGGAGAGATTCTCCACCCCACCTGCCTCAGCAGTCCCCAGGCAGGAAGGGAGAGTGCACACACCCCTCTCACCTAACCTCGGAAACTGCAGTCACCCCCAGGGCCCTCCAAGCCCGGTCCTGCCTAAAACCCTCCCATGGCTCCCACTGCCCCAGCGTACAGCTGGAGCCCCCAGGCCTGGCACTCAAAATCCTGCCAACCCCTCCACCCCGTTTCCTACTGTTCCCTAAACATTGTTTCAGCCCCTGTCCTCAGGACCTTTGCACATGCCATTTCCCCCCCTGCAATATCCCTCCCTGTAGCCCCTCAGTGTTTGTCTTGAAACTGACCCTCTGAGTGCAGGGGCCCCACCAGCTGGGCTGGGGCTGCTGACATTCCTGGGCTACTGTCCCACATCCCTGTGGGTTTCCCAGGGCACACTCACAGACAAAGCCATCGGGGACCTCCTCACAGGTGGCAGGGGGGAGGCAGGGCTGGCCGGGACACCACAGCTGCTGGGTACACGTGGGCCCTGTAAAGTTGGCCGGGCAGGTGCAGTGGAAGTCATTCCAGGTGACAAGGCAAGTCCCGCCATTGAAACAGGGGTCAGGCTGAGGGAGAGTCAGGGCAGGGGGGCTCAGGCTGCGTTAGCATCACCCACCGTAACTGTCATGGCAGGGGCTCTTCACTGAGCACCTGCTACGAAACACGGGTTGCATCCTCACTAACCGGTGGAGAGGAAGTCACTATCCCATTTAACAGAAGAGGAAACTGAGGCTCAGAGAGGCATAGCCACCTGCCCAAGTCACCTAGCCAGTAGAGAGGGACCAGAGTCGGTGTCCAGGCTATTCCAGGACTGCTGCTTTGTTTATGAATCCACGGGAGTCCCTTTCCTCCAGGTAGCTGGGCAGAAAGGCCGAGGTGGCTCTCTGTCAGGGTTGGGGTGTCGGTCTTAGACCAGGACTGGGTCGCGGGAACGCGGGACCTCTAAAGGGTAAGAGCAGCTGGGCCAGAGAGGAGGTGACTGCAAACCCTGCTCTGCTGCTCCAGCAGGGCCCCTGGCATGCCACTTCACCTCCAGAGCCTGTTTTCCTCAGCAGTGAAAGTCTGCTGGCCCCCGTGAGGTGACGCAGACTGTCCCCGCACTCACACTGCACGTATCCTCGGAGACACAGCCCATGGTCAGGTTCCAGGACTGTCTGCTGCCCCACTCGCCGGGCTGACTTGAATTCTCCGGCCCAGGAAAGAACGGGAGGTGGAGGCCATTGAGTCGCAGGTCCTGGAGGCAGCCTCGGAAGGGCCCGCCCCAGGCCCGGGTGTCAGCGGGAAGGAGCATCCCGCCCACATGCACTTGCTGCCCCAGGTCCGGCAGCTGGCCAGGCCCGAAGCTGAGTGACACCAGGTGGCGGAGCCCATCATCCCAGCGCCCGGGGAGCAGCATGGCAGGACCGCCCAGCGCCTCAGCCCAGATCTGGCCGTCTCTCAAGAAGACTGTCAGGCCTCCTGCTGCCGAGTCGTTGGCCAGCC